ATTCTGTCTCATGTACAAGAAGGTGGAGCAAGAACTCACAGGCTCCAGTGAGGAAGTCTTGGCCGCCATTTCTCACCAATTGAAGAATTCAGGAAATCCATCCTTCCATGCACTGTAGTGGTTAGTAGCTCTGACCCTAGAGCCACACTTCCTGGGTTCAAATCCCAGCCCCTACATCCCACCTGGTTAGCTTCATGACCTTGGGTAAGTCACCTAACCTCTCAGTGTCTGGAGCTTTGGCTAGATTTGGAGGCTGTTCAGTAAAGGCCCACTTCTGCTCATCCTCCCTTCTCCTGAGTCCCCTGGGGATGCTGTTGGCAGATGCTAACATGGCCAGAGGTAGGTGCAGCCCCTGGTCCAGGCCTCTCTTATCTTCACGGGCCTCCAAGGGGAGGGGCCGTGCACACAAATTTGTTTCCTTCCTGGAGAACCTGTGCCACACTGGCCGCCCCCTCCCCACCCTCCCATCCCCCCCAACCACCAGCACCACCACCAAGCCTGAGCTGGGCTGTTAGACGGACTAGAGCTCTAGGGTGAGTCGCAGAGTGTCCCCCTGGGAGACACGAGGGAGGAGGCAGCTGCTGGGACCTTCCCCAGACCTGTGAGCAGGACTCTCCCCAGCCCACAGCACACAACCCCTGAGCCCCCATCAGCAAACACACACACACACACACACAATGGCACACTCACACAGGTATACAGACACACACACAGGTACGCACACACACACAATGGCACACTCACACAGGTATACACACACACACACGCGTGTTACTGTTGCCGTGGTAAGTCGCACAGTAATACTCAGCCTCGTCCTCGGGCTGCAGCCCCGAGATGGGCAGGAGCCCCGCATTGGCCGAGGCGTCTTTGGTTCCAGAGAAGCGGCTGGGGACCCCGGAGCCCTGATGCTTGTCAGAGTCTGATTTATATCTCAGGAGGTACCGGGGAGGGCGACCTGGCTTCTGCTGGTACCAGGAGATATGGTAGCCCGCAACGACAGCGCCACTGCTCAGGGTGCAGGGGAGTCTGGCTGATGCTCCCGGAGATGCAGAGAGGGAGGGCGGCTGAGTCACCACAGGCTGGGACAAGGACCCTGCAGACACAGACACGCGTGGGTGATAAGGCGAGAAACGGGGACATTTCCCAGGCTTCTGAGCGAGGCGGGAGTGCAGCAGGGATGCCCCTGGTCCCCTGGCCTGTGCCTACCTGTGCAGTGAGCGAGGAGCAGGAGGAGAGGAGTCCAGGCCATGGTGCCAGCAGCCCGGCTGTGACCTGAGCTGCAGCCCCTGGTGGAGACACGAGGGAGGAGGCAGCTGCTGGGACCTTCCCCAGACCTGTGAGCAGGACTCTCCCCAGCCCACAGCACACAACCCCTGAGCCCCCATCAGCAAACACACACACACACACACACACACACACACACGATATAGCTTATAACTCTCCCAGTTGGAGTTTTTAGAGATAGGTATCCATTGATGGGGAACCAGGTAATGTTTTCAGTCATCCTTTACTTATAGACTTTCAATTTTTAAGTTTTCTTTTTTTTTTCATTTTCCTTCCTTCCTTCCTTCCTTCCTTCCTTCCTTCCTTCCTTC